TTTGGGGGCACAAGAGGGTTGTTGCATTGCGCTGGTTAGGGGCGCAGGAAAGGCTACCGTGTTGGACGAGCCGCTGGGTGTGGCGCATTTAGCCATGGGTTCTTGGCTCAATTAGGCCTTGTTTGCGCTAGGTGTTAAGCGCTAGAGGGTTGCAGCAACGAGGCGGCAGTGTCGGATGGGCAATAAAAGGTTGAGCCCCGATTGTTGACATTCAATCTAATGTAGTCTCAGACAGCCTGAGTTTCAAAAGCGTGCCTAGAGATGACAAAAATATTGTTATTTCAAACATTCAAATATCTAACATAATTACCTGGAGAGAGAGAGAGGTAAGCTGCTTGCGTGAAAGCAAAGACAGAGTTTGAGGATTGCTCATGAGAGAACTACACCTTTTGAGACTGAGATTTTGGCAACCAATGAGAGAGTCCTTAAGCTTGAGGTATAGGCTGTTTGCTTAATACTCCGTTTGGTATGATGAAAGTTGGAAGGATGGAAAGTTAGAGAGATAAATAAAACATTATGTTTGGTAAGGAAGGAAGTAGGAAAGGTGAAAAAATGGATAGATTAACTTTCCTTCAAACTCACCCAAATCAATCCCTCCAAAATCGGAAGGAAAATTGATTGAAAGTTAATTATTTGTGTTAAAATGTATCTTATGTCTTTATATATTATGTATACATTAATTTCATATAAAAATATAATGATAAAATATGTATATATGTATGTATATATATATATATATATACACACACACACATATATATATTTTTAAAATTAAAAAAATAAAAAATAAAAAATAAAAAAAAATATTTTTTTTCAGCTTAACTAGGGGTGAAAATTTTCAACTCAACACAATGACACAATTCGAATTCAAAACAAATTTTATTACACGACCTTGATTATAAGTCAACACGAACTTGAAAATGACCTGACATGTGAACAAAAAATATAAAAGGCTCATAATTTTATGACTCAACACAAATCTGATACAACACGACTCGATTGTCAACTCTAATCTTAGCCATCACAAAAAAAAAAAGAATTCAAAAAAAAATTGTCATTTTTATTTTTTATCCATCTAACCAAACATAAAGTAAGGAAAGTGTATCATTCATATTTTTCATCGTTGAAGGATAGAAAATGTATTCCTCCTACTTTTCATCCTTCTTACCAAACGGAGCATACAAGCAGAGCAAATATAGGCCAAGTATTTGGCGACCTCTGAGAGTGCCACTAAGTTGGAGATAAGCTGCCTGCTTGAAAGCAGAGCAGAGATAGGTCAAGCTTTTTTGGTGACCCGCGTGAGAGCCGCTAATCTGGATATAGGCTACCTGCTTGAGTGCAGAGCAGTGATAGGCCAAACTTTTTTGGCGACCCGCGAAAGAGCCGTAAAGTTGGAGATAGGCTGCCTACTTGAGAGAGAGCATAACAGAGATAGACCAAGCTTTTTTGTCAAACCACGAGAGAGCCGCTAAGCTGAAGATAAGCTGTCTGCTTGAGAGAGAGAGCAAAAAAGAGATAGGCTAAGTTTTTTTGGCAAACCGCGAGAGAGCTACTAAGCTGGAAATAGGCTACCTGCTTGAAAGCAGAGCCAAGATAGACCAAGCTTTTTATGGCGACCCGCGAGAGANGGTGCACATTTCTCCATAATGCAAGAAAACCGAGCAAGACTCTGCAACCGTTGGGCGCTAGTTGCCCCGGAGTCAAGGAAAAGTAATGCAAAACACGACAAATGGGGGAGGACATGGAAAATTTTAACCCAGCCTCAAGCATCTCCTCGTAGACAACAATATCCCCGGAAGAGTCGTCGCAAACAAGCTCGCCCAACTCAGTCCGACGGTACAACACGGTCGGAGGGATGCGATAAGTAAAAACAACCCTTGAAATATCTTCATCTAAGCGGAACAAACTAGAAAGGGTGCTCACCTTAGACCCGTCATCATCAAGCCCCACTTTGCTCTTGCGTTTCTTATTCCGGGGCCTTAAGGAGTAGTCCAAATCACCATTGAGAGAGTCTTGAGGAACTTGAATCGGGGGAGCTACAATAGGGGCTTGATCACCAAGAGCAGTACCCAAAGCTTCCTTACTATTTGCAATGTCTAGCCCAACACCTGGAAGCGTGCCTGACTGCTGTTGCTCGTCAAAACAAGGATGCCCAGTAGCTTGAAGGGTGCCTGGCCCTTCAAAATTGCGCAAAGCAGAATTTTCGACTCAAAAATCAGCACCTAAGGGGCCCAAATCAGCGCCTCGAGTGAGAATCGGATCAGCCCGTGCTCCCAGGCCACTGCCTAGCTCTCCCTGATGAACCTTGGACTGATTTTCAGCGCCCCTTGATAGAAAAATACTGCTGCCCAGCGTTCCAAAGCCGCCCAGCGCAGCTGAGCTGTCCGGGACAGCAAAAGCAGCAGCCAGGCTACTGCCTAGCGCACCTGGGCTGTCCAGGACAACAAGGCCAGCGCACAAGCAGCTGCCCAGCACGCCTGGGCTGTCCAGGACAGGAGGAGTAGAGCCCAGGCAGCCGCCCAGCCCCCCACCGCGCGCGCGCGAGCTGCCCAGTCGCACTCCTTCGCTGTCCAGTCGCACGCCCAGCCTTTTTCCTTCGCTGCCCAAGCCACTCCTCGCGCTGCCCATCTCCCCTTCGCTGTCCAGCCCTTCATTACAGCCCCAAAGCTGTCCAAAACAGCATTCGAATGCTCAAAACCAGCCTCCAAGTTCTCCAAAATGGTGTATACTTCATCCCTTTCTTCAACCTCCACCACTCCCTCTTCAATCGACATTGTTTACTTGAGAAGCTCAACTAGCAAGGAAGAAATCACACTCTTGAAAGGATTCAAGGAGAANTATACTTCATCCCTTTCTTCAACCTCCACCACTCCCTCTTCAATCGACATTGTTTACTTGAGAANTGAAGTAACTCCTTAGGCTCTCATCTCAATCATGTTTTATGTTGAGCAGATAGGTGGCAGGCTTTTGATGGCAGCATCCACCAATGAACTGTGTCACAAAGGATTTGCTCAGTTCTGCGAAGGAGCCTATAGAGGCCGGGGTGAGTTTGGCGAACCATTGTCGCACTGATTCCTTCAAAGTAGTTGTGAATGCCCTACACATAATTTCATCGGGGATGTTGTGCAGTTACATTAAGGTTTTGTAGGTTTCGAGGTGATCAAGTGAGACCTTTGTACCTTCAAAGGTTTCAACGGATGACATTTTGAACTTCTGGAGAAGTAGGTAGTTCTCCACGTTAGGTACGAAGGGTGTGTCTGTTCACCTAACAAGGTAGTCCACGGTTTTTTAGTACATGTGCCTTCATAGCATTGAAGACGTCGCCTAGTTGATTTTGTATTTTTTTGATTTTTTCGCCCAGTGATTTGGGACTCCTTTGAAATTGTCATGAAAATGGCTCACATGCTCCACACTTTGATTTTCGCCCTCATCCTCTTGAAAATGGGGATCTCCAGAATAAGGAGTTTTGAAGTGGAGGTGGAGGTCCCTCATGTTGGGCTCCCTTGTATGGGGCGCCCCCAAGTATAGAGCTCCTTGATGCACAGGGCGTGGAGTTCCTCTAGCTTGGGGTATCACAGGTTGTGCCCCTCCTTGTTGTCTAGTGAGCATCAGTTGCAAAATCTACTGGTTCTGAGCTACAAGCTATTGCATTGTTTCTAGCATTTGTTGTGCATTCGGAACAGGATTGGTTGGTGGATGAGCAACCTTTTCCTCTTGTGCTGGATTGTCTTCAATCTGATTCATGGATCAGGTGGTGATCGTCATTGGTATATTAAAAAAGGTAATTAGGTGAGAATTTTGTCGTTCCCATAGACGGTGTCAAACTAATGATGCACAAATTAGTTAGCACACCATATGTCAAGTAAGCAGTACAAAATACAATAAATAAGTAGAGGGAGAAAGAAGACAAGGTTTATAGAGGTTTGGTCAACATGACCTACATCCACTTTAAATGACAAGGGTTGTCAGGTATTTTATTAACTTAAGTATATAAGGTGAATTGAGAGTTACAAGCTTAGAGAGGGAGAAGAGAGTTGTGCTCAGATTAAGTGTAATGATGCCCCCCAAGTGTTGGTTGAACCTACATAACAGTTGTCTCATTATGCACAATAGTTAAATAGCTGGTCTGGCTGTCATAACGAATTGAGGTGATTTAATAGTAATTAAATAGCTGATTCGGCAGAGGCAAAGGTGACAACTNTAGTCTGGCTGTCATAACGAATTGAGGTGATTTAATAGTAATTAAATAGCTGATTCGGTAGAGGCAAAGGTGACAACCTTTTTTCAATGGGCGAGACAATTACAATACTCTTCATAGGACTTGGTCAAAGGATGAGGTGAAAGTTGACTCTCTTCAAGGCGACGAGGATGAGACTCTTAGGTGACCCTTACTCCAAGGTGGGTAGAAGGAGGATTTTGGATGACCGTTGCATCCTTTCCTACTGATGAAACTCCTCGAACCTGATGAGCTTGATTAGACGTGGAATACTTTGGACGCTGAATTTCTTGGAGTTGGACTCTTAATTTAAACTGGGCTCATAGCAAGAGTTGGGCCCTTAGGCCTGGCCCATCAAAAAATAAAATTAGTTTGTCCGCTCATGTCCTGAGGGCTATATGAAAGAATGCAAAATTGACAAGACAATACTAGATTTGGGTCTAACCTTAGCGAGGGGGTTATTCACTAGAGTCTGCAGGTAAGAAATAATGCATTTCGTCTTTTGAGTCGATGAATTACGAAAGGCTAAGTTTTTAGTTGATCCTACCCAATTGAGGATACCGTTCTAAGCCAAATTCCGTCCAAAATTATCTCACATATTTTTAATTTTTAAATTATTAATTTTCNAAAAAATATATACTTTAAACACTAAAAGTGTTATTAACCCTAAAAATTTGGATCCTTTAAAGTATTAATTCAGAATACAAAAATCTTCCGAAATGCAAAGTATCATTTTGCCCTTTCAATTTTATTACATATTATTTCTTTGGAAAGGAGTCCAGAGTTAGGAAATAGAGTCATGACTTTGACTTTTACAAGCTTTAATGGCTTCTGTCTTGTTTCCCGAATGCAAACCAGTGGTCCATCTCTTTTGACGTTGATCATAAACTTCATATCTCTCATCATCCATTATTCTGAACTTACAATCATACCCACATATACGTCGAGGAAAGGCACAGAAAAACCCCTTTTCATTTGTCCACTCGCTAACGAATTTGCTCGGATCGCCGTAGAATGATACGAAACAAGCCAAGGTATTTGGTTTAAATGGGTATGTGACATATGTTGTCCAGTTCATAGTCTGCTGAGGATTTAGTGTAGCCACTACATGCCCCTCCCCTTGAGCATCCGGACCACACGATACGATAGCCACTGAATTGTTCAGGTTGTTTATCTCTATTTGCTCCCACGACGGGCGCGGTGGCGATGGGTTGTAGACGTAGGCGGCGCTCAACATTCTTGCTGATGAGGCCATGCAGGAGAAGAAGGTAAGGAGGAGAGGTAGAAGAGCAGTCTCCATGGGTGGGGTGGGTGGAGGTGGGGATGGGGATGGGGATGGGGTGGTGGGCACTTTGACATTCATTTGTTGTAGTTAATATTTGTTAAGGACAGTTAATTAATGGTTTTAATTATGTATGAGTTGAATAAATTCTCTTTAAGGATGCATGGAAACAAAACGCTCTGCGGTTATACAGAGTTTCCTTTTCTTACAATAGGAAGTGCGGATAGATTGCAAAATACACCAACAAAATATTCAACACAACAGTCATATCGCGTGCTAATAAATTGAACTAGTACATGACATCTAATCCAAAGCGATAGTTCGTCAATGTTATAAGAATAATAGAGTTTAAGGACTTGACTACGGCACTGGTTGAACTTAAAATATAAAATTAGAGGAATATTTTATATATCGACATCTGACTAGTTTAAATGTGTTGAGAAAATGTCACGTGTCAGAATGTGAAGTAAAGTGGGAGATGATTATGCACAAACTTGTTTAAAAAAGAGAAATAATTAGATAACCGTCGATGAAGACAAACTAATGGAAGGTAGTGGATATAAAAGACAGATAATGGAGAAGTTAAATGATACATTCAAACTCTCAAAAGACCACTAATTTGGACACTTTTAGGAGTAATTTTAGATTAATTTTAGGAAGTAGTTATTGTTGTAATTAAGGTTATTAACTCAGTCTTCTTTGTAACTGCAATGCTTTGAACTAAATTAATAAAGGAAATATATTTTATTAGTTTCATGTATTGTGTGATTATCCCCTTAAAATTCTTCCAAAAGCCCTAAAACAAAGCAATTGAACCCATCATTAACAATCGTCTAAAAGATGTTTGTCGATTGAGTTTCCTTCGTCGATAACAACAAATTTTGGTGCAACAATCTTTTGGCACACTGATTCGATTCGAAAGTTGTAAACTCAAGTATAGGTTGTCAAGTAAGTAGTAATTCTTGGTAGAGTCTAAGATCGATCCACAAGGAATTGGAGATTTTGGAGTGAAAAAAGATTAATAAAAGAAGATATGTTGTTTTTTTGAGAGAATGATTTGGTAATTGGAATTTAAAACAAATAAACCAAAATTGTTTTAAAAAAAAGTAATGTGGAAAAATACTAAGGCATTGGGTACTATTTCAATAACCATTGGGTAGCAAATTAATCCTATTTTCTAATTTCGATTGAGAATCAATTAGAGAGTGAACCCAATTGGGAGATTTGACAACAATTAATTAGGAAATTCTCTTAGTGTATAATCAATGAATAATTGTAATGAATCCAAATATTCAATTGTTAATTACAATTATTTAACATGGNGTATAATCAATGAATAATTGTAATGAATCCAAATATTCAATTGTTAATTACAATTATTTAACATGGCCAGAGTTAATGATAAATCAAACAATTAACCAATCAAACATCCAAATTCATAAAAATTAGCAAATCAATTAATTAAATAAAAACTTTAACAATTCAACCCAAGTATCTACATCTAACTATTTAGCTGATAGAGAATCTGAAGCATTCATCACAATTAGTATAATAATTCAAGAGATTATATATCAAGAGAAAGTTTTGCTAAAATATGATGGACTAGATTAATAAAGTAATCATCATATGAAGAACATAAGATTAATTTACATACCAAATTAAAATGAAATCTCCCCTAGCCTTAGTATAAATGATTAGCCAGACATAGGAAATGTGCTAATTACAAAATTAAGGAAGAAAAATAAATAGAACATTTTCAAATTTGGTAAAGCTCTCTAAACTCTGCAAAAAGTACTTTGTACTTTTTTTCCCAAGGAGGAAGATGATCTCTTCTCGCGTCAATGGGCTTTCTTGATTGGCTGGGAGTAAAGACATGCGTTTGGACGTGGATCAATGATATCCAAACTTGGCCTTCTAGGAGCTTAGCCTGTTTTTGCCTCTGATGTAGCACCTCACATCCGAATATGGATAAATTTCATTCAGTAGTGGATTTCTGAACTTCAATCTTCAAATTTTCTCTTTTCCTTTATGCAATCCACTCTCGTGTTTGCTTATTTGCCTCATAATCTTGTCATTTCACCTGGAAAATTGATAATTAGCCTACAAATGATAGAATAAATATGCAATATTTAGGGCTAATCACACCACCCAACCTAGCTCTTATTAGTCTCTAGGATGAAGTAAAGTAAGAAAATAAACTAAACCTTTATGTACATCCACTTTCATAAGACTCATGATTGCATTTAACCCATGCAACAAGCCTTTAAACCCCTAAGTGATCCCTAGTAGACGAGTGTCGTCTCATGAGGGTTTATAGTGATGCTACGCACAAACATTAAATGTCAATGAATATCAAAATAATAATTTTATAATACAAATAAACATTATAATCCAAGAACTTAGAGTCCTATGCAATCAATAAGAATTTGTTAAGCAAAATATGGAACACGTCGCTATATGAAAGTATACACATATTAATTTATCATGAAAACTCGTGTGTAGTGTGAAATAATTGTACCAAATCAACAATCCACTAAGTGCTCACCCTTACAACTATCAATCCATTTGTTTCAATTTCAATTGTCACAAAATATATTTCTTTAAAGGGTTAATTGCAATAGAGATCTCCAAAATATGAAGTTTGTCTCATTTTAGTCTCCAATATTTCAATTGCATCACTTTGATCCCTAAAGTATTGAATATGTTTCTATATAATCCTTCAAGCAAACAATGTCTAGATCCCTAACGATTTTTTTATCATAAACTTGTCACATAATAGATAAATATGGATAAAAAATAATTTTGATAACTTTTAAACAAAATTTGGGTAGCTCTTGATAAAAAAATGTGTAATATGGGTAGCTTTTGATCAAAATTTGGATAGCGCAAAAAAATCAAAACTATTCTATGTAGGTATTTAACTAAAATTTGAGCAAAAATTTGGTTAAGAGTTATCTAAGTTATTTTTTTGTCTATATTTAAGAATCATGTGATAAGTTTATGATGTTGTTTACTCGAGGGACTATATAGAAACATATTTAATACTTTAAGGACCAAAATTATGCAAATGAAACATTAGAGACCAAAATGAGACAAAGTCCATATGTTGGGGAACTCTAGTGCAATTAACCCTTCTTTAAAAGAATGTCTCATATTATTGTAGTTCATCACTTATAGTTCAAATGTGAGTTGAAGATATGCAATTCAAAACAAAGTGATGCCCACATGTTAGCTTCAATAAACGGTAACTGAAAGAAAAGACTTTAGCATAGTCCAATGAAAGGAAATCAACTATCAATATGCAACAACTTTTATCTATATCCTCACTAACATAAGTCATGCATCACCAATATACTCTTGAGATCAAATACGACTTTACTAGGTTGTGATTAGGCCTTAGGATTTATCCCAAGATAAAACATTAAATTACACAACCATTTCTATGTAACTCTTAACTGTCCACACCTTCACTCCTAGACATTCTCTCTCTCTCTCTAAAGTAATTTCCAAATGTAAATATCATCAACATGCCCAATTTCATCATTTTTTTTCACAAACTTTCTTATCCAACATCTTTCCCACAATACATAGACAATAGATGCTCCAACTTGGGATAACCACTGGCAAGTGATATTCAACCTATATTAAGCTTGGTTACATGATGTGGTTCAAAAATTAAATATTTTGTTTGGATCAATCACGACTTATAGAGATAATGATATGCAAAGAATAGGGCTAAGGTTCAAATGATAACAAAAATGACCTAATATCATTTCTCAAGAGTTTCTTAGCAGCACACTTTCCCATACATATAATTCAAAAAAATGAAGCCATTTAACACATCAATGTTAGATCAATTCCAAAATAAAGAGACCATTCAAGGAAATAGAAGAAAGAATAATTAATCAATGAGTAAATGTTGTAAAAACTTGAAAAATGAAGGCTCAAAACTCTCTAAGGCCTTTGCATATCCACTCTTTGTTTCTAGTCTTTGGAGCAAGACACCTAATGAACTATCAATCTAGTATAGTAGAAATGTGCACAAGGGTTGAGTTTTCAAAGCAACACAATGTGAGATACAAACATATAGAAATGAACTCTATCTAGTGCTTAAACATTTGCAAATCTCAAGCTCAACTCATCATCTTCTAATTATGATTGCAATTTGCACATAAAGTTTTATTAAAATATTCAATGATAATCACATATAGTAAAACAAGTGCTCAAGATAACATGTAACCATTTATATATCTATACTACTAATAAAAGTATCTTAATATGAAAAACTTTGGATTCTTTATTTTACTCTTATAAAAAATTGCAAAGACCACTCATTTTATAATTAAATATTTAAATTATCATCTTATCATTATGTATTTAAATCACTAAATTATCTCNTTGCAAAGACCACTCATTTTATAATTAAATATTTAAATTATCATCTTATCATTATGTATTTAAATCACTAAATTATCTCTAACATCTCTTTTAATTAACTATTCCCTATTTTAAATATCAGTTTCTATAAAAAAAATGTTGGCTATATAACCTCTAAAATAATGTGCATCATTATATTTTTAATAAAGTGTTAAAAACAACGTTCAAAAATTTCATCAGTATAATATTACTCATCGCATATGCAAAGATAATATTATACCTACATATGTCTATTTTCTTTTTCATCGAAATGTTTAACCATCATTTCTAAGATAAAAATAATCGTATATATAGTTTTTTGAAATCAATTTATGTTATATCAGTATAATTCTTCGAGTTCAATAAAATTTCTAATCTATATTAATATTTTATGTGAAATAGAATGTATTGTATTTNTCGAGTTCAATAAAATTTCTAATCTATATTAATATTTTATGTGAAATAGAATGTATTGTATTTTTAAGTAAAAACTTGAATTTTTTAAAATTTTATTATGCTTGATAATATATATTACGAAAAATTTCATCAACACCCCCTCTAGTTAGGCATAAATTCAAAAACACCCCCTCCCTATTTTGAAT